AATTAGAAGAGTTCTAAACTAACGCGCTGTCTTCACTGTATCTAACGCACACGCTCAAGACTGATTTATACTCGAGCGTCCGCAAGTTTGCTTTGAGTGCATGGTTGTGCTGTGGGATGTGTTTCCCATACATTTATTTATTTGTGGCGCTCACCACAATATCAAAACTGACGGATTTTCCAAAAGCTTCATTGAATAAACATGAGCACGTAACTGCACGTTTAAAAATCATAACGAGGCGCGGGTGTTTTTATATCACTGTATTTCTGAAGGAAGACTAGCTTTAGAAAATTTTCGATGTCATTTTAATTTCATCTTGCATGTTATATGCCTGATAAGTAGAGGTGGGAATCACCAGAGGCCTCACGATACGATATTATCACAATACTTGTGTCACGATACAATATTATTGCGATTTTAAATATATTGCGATATATTGCAATTTATTACCTTTTTCCAACTTCAAATTATAGCGCTGCTTTGTGTACAGCCGTTACCGGGGAAACCTCTGTTTCTCCCACTTTAAAGAACCTCCTGCTGGCAGAGAATTAATTTGCATTTTCAGTAAGTCCGTCTGATTTAGGCAGCAAACATATTTAGCTTTTCCTATATCCACGGGTGCTGCGGATAATCTGCGGGTCGGGTAATAAAAAATGTATTCTGATAATTTGCGGGTGGGTCGCGGGTGGATAAAATAAATCGTAAATGATGCAAATATTAACTACTTGTTTTTTTAAATACATTTTTTTTTCATGAGGCAGACGATTTTGTGTGTGTTAGTTCACCTGATCGGGAAGTTGCAGTGACAGAAATGGTTAAAGTGCTCAAACTTTTGCTGTGGCATTAGAGCTGGTACACCGTTGTCGCTTGCGAAATCAAAATGACGGCGCCTGGGTGTAAATGTACAGATTAAGGGCCGGTGATATTATAATAAGATCTCAACGGGGACCTGATTATAGCACTTAAAACCTGGAAAAGTCAGATTTTCATGATATGTCACCTTTAATACCACAAAAAAAAAATATATATCAAATTTGCCTTTTTCGAAGCTGCTGTATATAAAAAACACAAGGTGGCTGAATTTGCATGCTATTTAGATAGCTGAAGCGTATAGACGTTCATTACTTTCACTCACTTTAATTAGTTTTTTAGCACCCCCTCTGAACCGTTAAGCCCCTCCTTAGCACCCCCAATAAAAAAAGTCCTGGAGCCGCCACTGGCTCTTTCTCATTGGATCTAAGCAAATCTCATAAGTGACCCATTTTGATAAAAAAAAAACTGAGTTGTCACTGAAAGGTGAGGAGTTTGCATCTATGATCTATGGCAAGCACAAACACATAGTTTCTACCTAAATACATTTACACACACATAGGCTTTTCAATTATTCGAAACAAAAACAAAGCAGACGAGCTTCAACGAGCCGCAGCGGGCAGCTACTTGTGTCCACTGCTAAATGATTTATTTACCTCCAACTCTCTCTGCAGAACAGACAACCCAGGCTGCTCGCGACGTCCCGGAAATTCTCTCTTCCATATTCGTTTATTTTTCTTTTTCGGTTTCTGTCTTTCGCTGCAAATCAACGCACAGACAACTCGAAAAGCAAGCTGCTTGCTCACCGCCGCGTCAGGGTTCATTGTTTTCGAGAACTCCAGTCTCGCGCATGCTCTTACATCACTTCCCGTGTGCGTTCTTCTTCTTCTTGTTTAATGGCGAATAACTCCTTCGGAGCATTATCGCCACCTATTGTACTGGATGTCAAGTAAACTTACATAGGTGATGAGTCTGAAATTTGAGAAGGGGAAGGATTGAGAAAAAAAAAATACAATTTGGTGGATGTTTCATATTCTCTCCAATCTATGGAGCACTCTGATCACATGCTCATGCTGGCGCTGCGTGTTCAGCTCCTCTAACACTCACAATTAGCTCTTCATGCCCCAGATTAGGTAGAATACTCCCATCCACACATATGTGACCACAAAACCAGTCTTAAGTGTCAATTTTTCAAAATTGAGATTTATACATAATCTGAAATCTGAATAAATAAGCTTACCATTGATGTATGGTTTGTTAGGATCGGACAATATTTGGTTGAGATACAACTATTTGAAAATCTGGAATCTGAGGGTGCAAAAAATATTTTTTAAATATTGAGAAAATTGCCTTTAAAGTTGTCCAAATTAAGTCCTTAGAAATGCATATTACTAATCAAAAATTAAGTTTTTATATATTTATTTACAGTAGGAAATGTACAAAATATCTTCATGGTAAACACATTTCATTACACCAAATACACCAAATAATGTTCTTTTTAGCAGCATCATATGACCCCTTTAAACCTTTTCCTAAACTATCTTCATGTGTCATTCTTTCCTCCCCAAAGTGACTAAATAATATGTCACGATATACACTATATTTTCCACACCTAGAAAGCACATGATATACATTTTCAGATACACCACATCGCATAACCCATTTTCATGTAAACCTATAAGTGCCAGTGTTGATTTCTCTCGTGTGCGTTTTGTTGTGAAAAGTAGTTTGTAGTCAGTGTATTAAGCGAGGTACGAAGAATGGACTCCAGGGGCCCGTTCTTCGTACGTCGCTAACTCACGGGACAAGAACACGGGACCCAGACAAGTCCTCTGCACAATCTGACCTGTGTTGCAGCCTGGAATCAAACCAGGCTCCTTTCTCCATTTGTGTCACTGATGGAGTTTTGGTTCCTTGCCACTGTCGCCTTTGGCTTGCTTAGTTGGGGACGCTTAATTTCTGTCAATATTGTCGGCTTGATTGCACAGACACTATTGGAAGAGAGCTGGGGTTCGTTCTTCGTATGTCGCTAACTCAGTTAGCTGGATTTGATTGTTGATGATTTCGCTTGATCTTGGATTGGTTGGTTCTTCGAAGCTCATCCCGGAGTTGCTGTCATAGCAACAGCTCCGTAAGTTTAAACCTGCTTGGGAGCAGGTTTATTTCATGTAAACAGGATTACATTGCATCTTTGTAAGCAGAACTGATACTTAAAATCTGTCCCAGCCACTGCTACTTTATTACAAGAGTACCCTACTGATCCAGGGACAGTAATTTACAATAATAATAATTTAAAAATTAATACAAAAAAATAGTATAATGTTGTGTAGTCATCATCTGTAACATTATAAACACAGCCAGGTTTACTCATTGAAAAATTTATTCGTGATGAAATAATTACTTTATAATTGTACATCTGCCCTTTTCGGGGAACACGAGAACGCGCACTAATCTTAGACAACTTAATCCAGATATTTTAATCAAATCTGTAAATTCGTTTTAAGAACCAAATTAGCCAGAGATCAGTTATCATGATTACTAGATCTGGAGCATGTTCAAGCTCAAACCGGTGTGCAACGTTTTGCTACGGTTTCCGGGTTGAACGACATGTTTCCAGGAAACGGTGTGCAACAGGGTTTGAGATACGTTTTCTCTTGTTTGGTGGGTGTGTCAAAAATGTCATCCCAATCAGCAGCAACATGTATATAAACCACGCGGTATTAAAGAGACAGCTCGCACAATGTAATTAACATCAAAATAAATTCATAAGAGCAAGTATATTGTTTGCACATGTTTATTTACATTAAAGGCAAAATAACTGAAATAATAAGAGCACAAGTATAGATCTGGAACTTCTTTAAGTCTGTCTAAATATCATTTTGTAATTGCAATGTCTTCTGGTCCATCCTTTCCTTAGGAAGGTGTGCTAGACACTAATTAATGTAACATAAACAAACTATACATATTTATATATTTCGCTATTGTATTGTGGAGTGACACTTTCATAAACTTTTCTATACTCCTCTGATTATATAATGGTAAATATTACAATATCATAGCACAACAACAGTGATCAGCAAT